TTTTTTTTTAATTTTTTTTGTATTATTATAATTTATAATTATAATTCTTTAATTTTTTTTATTATTTTTTTTTTTACAGAGTCGTAGACTACAGACTTAACAGCGCCCAATCAACAAATATCTCTTTCTTTTTTCCTCCCCTTCATTCACAGCTCTCTCTCTCTCTCTCTCTCTCTCTCTGTGTTTCATTTCATTTGGCCTGGTTTTTGGACTCCCCACACTCTTATCTCAATCTGCTTCCTTTGCCAATCCTTAATGTATCTGAATCTCTGGATTTTCTTGATCTGGGCATCCACTATTTCCTGTTTAGATCGTAGATTTCGCCATTAAAACCTTTGTTTTTTTTTTTTCCGCTCTTCGTCTTTCATCTCTGTTTTCACAGTACGAATCCGCTTCACTGAGAAAAACTCCACATGGGTCTTGTTCGTCTATCAGTTCTTTGACAGATTTAGAGTAATGGGATTCATGGTAAAACTGCAAATAAGGTTTTTTTCATAGAAAGGTCAGTATCATTTCTCTTTCTCTCTCCTCTCTTGCTCTTAAGTTTTGTGATTGAAACAAGCCTCTTTTTTTCTCTCTCATGTCTTGCTTATTGTAGGTTTTTGAAGTTCGAAGTTAATTCTAAGGACTTTTGATGTTAACCGAGCTCTATCAAGTTCATGCATTACTTGCATCTTTTTTTTTCCCCCTTATCTTCTGATCGATCTTGTTTGTATAGGCTTGTGGAAAATCTGTCATTTAGAAATTTATGTTTCGTTTTTCTGATAATCTGGTTTTCTGGGTATTACTTTTTCCTTATCTTCATTTCTGCTGTTACCCTCATTTCAATGTTTGAAGTGATTATTTTTTATAGAATATATTTGAAGTGATGTTGATTCTTGTTAATTTCAGTTCGTTCTATGATGTATTCTGGTCTTTTTTCAACAATTGAGTGTCAACCAAGATAAATTTGGTTCCTTTAACCAAAAAGGTTAATTTTTGTTATTAGTTCATCTTTTGATTTTTTTTTTTTTTTCAATCATGTTTGACAAATACTTGGGAATTTGGGGTATTTGTTGAAAGTACAGAAATTATCATGGATTGTATTGATGCAAATTCTCTTGTTTATGAATTTTGAGTGGTCAAGAAGGAAGAAGAGAAACAAAAACTCAGACTTGGAAGTTGGAAATTTCCTTAATTTCAGAACTTCGTAAACTAATAATTAGACTGTTATCAATTTGCAGAATATCATCTTTTGCAAGCCAAAACAATAGAAAAGGAAAATATTATTTTTATGTTCTTCTTTTGCTTTCACTTGACAACCAAATCAAACCAAATATGATGTTTGGAAAGCATCCGGTGGAAGTGAAGTTGTGAAGTGAATGAAACAAGCCGTTGCCTTAATTGATGCATATAAGAGAAAAATGTGATGTTTAAAACTTGATGCATGTAATAGAAGAATATGCCTTAATGATGGTTTTTCAGTTCCTAAAAGTTATCTGTGTGAATAAAAGTTATTGCAAAATATCATGTGAAGGAATATGAATCAGTTAATGGGATATATGTATTTCGAACAAAGGATTCTGTTGTAGACAGTGAGCATCTGTGATCTACTATTGGTGCCTCTGTTCACTTGTACTTCCAATACTGCATCGTATCAGTTTCGTTAGTTTATGCAAAACATATTGGAATGGACATAAGCTTGCGTAGTTTTGTGTATGACTTGTTAAATATTTTAGTTATTGCTTAATGTATCTGTGAATTTCCTTCTTTTTTCTTTTCCTTTTCAATTTAAACCAGAGTTTTGTAGTAGAAAATTACACCTTTTGATGTTTTCTCTTTATTTGGCAGGCATTATTGTTTGCATGAATTATTCATTTGTGGAGTTTTGAGAATATGGGTAGAGGTAGAGGAAAGGGAAAGA